CCTCCCCCTTCTTCACAGGCCAGGTTTCCTGCCATTGACAGCATCCCAGCTGGGCCCTGCCCAGCCTCATGCTTAACCCCTTCATGACCCAGATCTCAGGGCTACTGGCCTGCACTCCCAAACTTCATCTAGAAAATTAGAATGAAAATACATATTTCATTGGGTTTTCAGGATTAAATGTGTTAATCATGGTGTGAAGTACTCAGAAGAATGCCTAGCATGTATTAGGCTCTCAATAAAAGCTAACTATTATTCCTAATTGTGTGAGCTTAGATAAGTCATTTCACCTATCTGAACCTCTGTCTCTTCAGTAGTCAAATGGAGAAAATAATAAAACATACTTCCCAAACATGGTCCTGGGGGTGAATTGTGATGGTGTACATGAAAGCATTTTGCAGAGTGCTGTAAGAACACAATATAGGACCATCATGGATGGAAAAAAAAAAACTTTCTTTAACTAGGTAATAAAAATCTCTTACCCAGAGATTGGCTTTCTGGTTTTCAGACTTATTACCTTACTTGATAGGCAGAGGGTGCAGTGGAAAGAATGGATTTGGGATTGGAATTAGGTAAAGCTCTCCCCGCTCCAAACCTGTTTCCTTAACTATCAAGTGCGGTGGTCACCCCTGCTGGGTTCTGTTTAGGGTCCTTGGGAGGAACAAAGATCAGAGAACACAGGTGTGAATGCGTTTGCAAACATTAAAAAGTGCTAGAAGGGAGGAAAAGGGATTTGTGAAAAGTGGCCAGACTGGGGGGAGCAGGGAGCTGCAGGGAGATGCCCTTTGGGTGGGGGCATTGATCTTTGAGCTCTGGATAGTGCAGTTTACCTGCTGGTACAAGGGGAGGAGTTCTCCTGACACCAGCACTGTGAGATGGGACTCCTCTTTGAAACATAGAGTGTCAGATAAGAAACTGTGCCAGCTCTTAGAAGTCCCCAGCGTGGGCAGAGAAGGAAGGATATCCTTTACCCAGGCGTGGCCCCAGAATCATTCCTTCATCATCTTCTTCCCAGCCAATCCCATTTGCCATCAGAGGACCTTGGGCAGAGGCACCTCCAGTAGGTTCTCTTGTGACCTTCATGTCAAGACATGCTGAGAGGGGCTCACCCTGCACATCTGCAGCACCACTGTCCCCACCCTTAGGTTGCAGATTCCTGGCCTCACCCCTGGGGAGAGCAAGCTTGATACCATCCACACACCCAGACCAGGACAGGTCTGAACCTGCTACAGAGGGGGAAAAAAAAGAACAGTTAACTAGAACTCTGCTATGCTTTCCCAATCTGAACTAAAAGGATCTGCCAAGGCCCAGCAGAGGGGGCTGACCCCACTGAATAGCATGTCCACACCCCAGGCCTCTGGAGGAAGCTTGGGAATCAGGAGACCTTGTTTGAGGTCCTGGCTGTACCCCAAGCTCACTGTGCCTCTGTGCAAATCACTTAAACTGCAAGGGCCTGTGTAAAATAAAGGAGCTGGACTTGATCCAAAAGCCTTCTCCAGCACTGAGACTTTGATCAGGAAGGAGTTAACGGAGGCCAGGCTCCAGGTCAGGAAGGCAAGGGTTAATCTGGTGTGTGTGTTGGGGGGGGGTGGAGGCTCTCTTGGCTTTTCCTGTGGAGAGTGAGGTTTGGCTGCCACCAAAGTTCCTTCCAGTCCCTGCTGTCCCTCCTGCCCTCAGTCAAGACCTGCCCAGAGACCCAGGCATTCAGCCTCCCTAGGCAGAGGTGAGTGTATCCTGAGCCCAAGACTGGGGTGGGAGGGCACCCAGGGACCCAAGGGCAAGGAGTCTGGCACCAAGCCAGTGAGCACTGTCCCCTAGCCTGTTTCCAGAGCCGAAGGCTTGGGCAAAGTTTGGACCACTCCCCAGTACTGGGAGAAGATAGGCAAAGGGATGGAGGGCACAGGAATGTCTGCCAGGCTGCTAGGGTGGAACGTCTGTGGTCAGGTACCAAGGCAGCCCGGAAGGCAGGGAAGAGGCAGTAGACAGCAAACTATTTTGGTCCCTGTGTTTAAGAACTTTTTATAGCCTCCTGCTCAGGGCTGGGAAGAGAAGGAGGGGATAGGAGGATACCCATGAGGTCAGACAAGCACAGTGCCCTCCTGGGACCTTGGAATCTGACCTATTGCTGGGTTTAGTCCTTGGGAGTCAGGAAAGAGGGCACTGCCAGGCTCTCCTTGCTACCTGGGTTCCCATTCATCAACTACCTATGAGGCTGACTTACCAAACACTAGATGGGTGTGTGTGTGTGTGTGTGTGTGTGTGTGTGAAGACTGAGCAGGGTGCGCTGGGGTGTGTGGGGTTGTTTGGCAGAGTCTCTGCCCCAGGGCTCCTCACCAGGGCTCCTCCTCCTCATCCCTGGCAAGTTCTGTTCCTTTGTCGCCTACAGACCTGAGGTCCCCTCAGCCCCTAGAACTGATGTGTCCCTCTCAGCTGAATGGAGGATGGGGGGAGTAGGGGAGCAGGGGTGGGGCGGAGTGTGCTGAGCCATGTGGGTGGCCCATTCTGTTACTACCAAGGGAACTGTCAGTTCTTGATTTACAACTCTTCCTGGCCCCCTTCCTCAGCAGAAGGGAGGTGGAGGAGAAGGGTCACGGGGTCTCAGGATGAAAAGGGGACAGGGACCCTGAGGGCAGATTTCTGGGAGTGCAGATTATTGGGAAGAATTAGTGGAAGGAACTTCTTACTGAAGTAAGGGGCCCATCTCTAATGGAAATTGCTTGGTTTTACAGCAGTAGGAATAGAAGCAAAATGTAGAGGAAAGTTCTGATATACAAGTTCATTCTGAACTAGTTATGGACCACAAAGGAAGAGACCTGGGTTCTAGTCCCAAGCCCTAACTCTCAGTAAGACCTAAACAAGCCCCCTCCTCTCCCAGGGCCAGTTTTCTCTTCTATGAAATGGAAATGCAGAGGTAATGTTTACAGTTGGGCATTCTGGAATTCCCTTGGCAGAGGCACAGAGTGGGTGGCAGCTAGCTGACATGACCTGGTGACCACCTCCCTCTCCTTTCCTGATGGCCCTGCTGGGCCTGGGCAGGGCAGTTGGCTGCAGTTACTGGAGGCTCCTACCCTGTGGTTATATCCCTGACCTCTGTGCTTGGGGGCGGGATGGGTGGAGCCAGCCTGTGGCTGGGAAGCATCCTTGTCTTGGACTCAAAGTTGCTAGGTTGGGAAGAGGTATTTTTTCCGGTTGAGGCCACTTTCCGGAATTGGGCTGGGAACAGCTGTATTTCCTTTTCCAAGTGTCCTACTTGCTGATGCCTGCTTGGCATGGCCCTGTGGCCATTCTGGGGCACCCTCAAAGGGGCATATGTTTCTAGGTGGCCAGGGAGCCCCTGCCCACTGTTTTTGAGGGATGGGAGGAAGGGATACCTGAGCCTCTGCCCTCTGGGTATGGCACTAGCTGACTTGGATGGGGGAGGGGCAGCTGGCTGATCCTATTCCCAGGAGTGCCTGCAGCAGAGGGGCAGGGACATCTACTCTCCCCCTGACCATTCCTTTTTCCCCCAGCAGGCCCTAGGGAGCCCCAGCCAATTTCTCTCTGCTCCTCAACTATCTGCCTATCTCCAGTTGCTTATGGAGCACTGTCCTGCCCAGCTCTGCTAAGATGCTCCTGGCCTCTCCCTCTACCCCGTCCAGGGGACGGACCCCCAGCGCCGTGGAGAGGCTGGAGGCCGACAAAGCCAAGTATGTCAAGACGCACCAGGTGATAGCGCGACGCCAAGAGCCAGCTCTGCGTGGAGGTCCCGGGCCGCTCACCCCGCACCCCTGCAACGAGCTGGGAACCCCTGCATCGCCCAGGACGCCCAGGCCCGCCCGCCGGGGCAGCGGCAGGCGGCTGCCAAGGCCTGACTCTCTCATCTTCTACCGCCAGAAGCGGGACTGCAAGGTTTCGGTGAACAAAGAGAACGCCAAGGGCCAGGGGCTGGTGCGGCGCCTTTTCCTGGGCTCCCCTCGAGACGCCACCTCGAGCAGCCCGGGCTCAACGGAGCGACCCGCAGCTTCTGGAGGTTGGGCCGCGCCCCAAGATGCCCCGGAGGCGGCGGGAAAGCGGGCATTGTGCCCCACATGCTCGCTGCCCCTGTCGGAGAAGGAGCGCTTCTTCAACTACTGCGGCCTGGAGCGCGCGCTGGTGGAGGTGTTGGGCGCCGAGCGCTTCTCTCCGCAGACCTGGGGCGCCGACGCCAGCCCCCACCCCGGAACGTCACCGCCGCCTGGCTCCGGGGACGCCAGCGACTGGACATCCAGCGATGGCGGCGCAGATCGCCCGGACGGTGCAGAGGGCGGCGGCTCGGAGGCTGCGGGCTCAGCCCGGGACGGGCGCCCCCAGGTGTCGGTAGTGGAGCGCAACGCGCGCGTCATCCAATGGCTATATGGCTGCCAGCGTGCCCGCGGCCCGCCGCGCGAGTCCGAGGTGTGACAGCTGCTGTTCGGGAGCGGGCTCTCGTGGAGTCTGGGATCCCGGGAAGCGCAAGGGGCGAGCGCGGGGCTGGACCCGGGCACCGGCAGGGACGCCGTGCCTCTGAAGCGCCGGGTGATTTGGGGCAAGCCCTTCCCTCTGGATCTCGGTTTCCCCTCTTGAACCTTGGGAGGATGGGACAAAATGATCCCGAAGGCCCTTCCCAGCACAGACGGCGGAGGGGGAGGGGGCGGGGGCGGCCTCTCGGCCCCTGTGGAGGCCGGGTCTGGCGAGTGAAGACAGGTGGGAGAACAGAGAACCTGCTGAATAAAGTCACAACGTTATTTAAAGGAGTCAGGAGGTTGGATTGGAGAGGAGATGCACGTGAATTTTGGAATGTGGGTTCCAGTATGACTGTGCAACCCTGGGCAAGCACTCAGCCTCTCGGAAACGCAGCTACACCCGTAGGTGATCAAAGAATTTTTGAAATGGTGATAAAGTGCTTGGCAAAGTTCCCAGCACATAGGAAGTGCTCAATAAATGAAGCCGCTGTTACCACAACCGACCCCCAGGTGGGTCCAAACTAGGGCTGGGAGTCAGGAATAGTGCTTTTGGGGAGTTTTGGCGAGGGGTCTGTTTCCGAATCTGGGGTTCACCGGCCCCTAAAAGGCTCCTCCTCCTGGAGTTTTGCTGTCCCTTTTGATTACTAGGTATTGTAGGGCTGAGATGTGGAGGATCCAGAACTGAGGACAATTAAGAAGGACCCTTCAAACTAGGATTTTGAAAACCCACAGCCTCACATCCTGTCACTGCTTCCCTTTCCCTCAAAGAAGCAGAAGGTCCCCTGTTTTCCTCACACATTTACACCTCTAAGTCTTTATTCACTATCCTCCTCCCTTTGCCTAGGTTACCTTCCCTTTTCTCTCTACTCATCCTTCTAAGATTACATATATGCATTCTCCCTCAGGAACTCTTGAATTTCTTAGTGGGCCTCATCTCTGAGCTCCCAAGTACAACCTTATTTCAGCCAACTAGTCATCTTATGTGGGGTCCGTTGGTATGGATCTGGGCTGCCGTTAGCCACTGACCTTCCTCTAGTCATGGGACAGCGCACGTAGCAGGGCCACAGACAAAGTTTGTCGACTTAAAAGGAGCTGAACAGGAAGGCGGGACGTGTCCTCTGGGGTTCCCCAGATTCCTGAAAAGTTGTACCCTAAATCGAGCACAGCCTATCCAGATACCTGGGATGTCTCTGCATATTTTATGCCTGTACGTTTGTAGGGGAGAAGGTGAGGACCACTCCAGCAGAACCCCGCCCTGAGGTTGTCCACCCCAAAGCAGCCTTTCCCGCCGTCTGGACAAAAGCACGCGGTCACACAAGGTGTCAGGCCAAGGTTTTTATCGCGGGAGGGGACAAGCGGGCGACCAGTTCGGCTGGCCGGCTAGTCGCCCTTGGGCGCAGCTTTCACTCTCATCTCGGCCAGTTTGTGGGTGAGGAAGCCCCACTTGAAACCAGCCGCGGGATCGGCTTCCCGCGGCTCGGGGCGCTCGGCAGCCTCGTCCCCGACTTCAGGGTCCGGCTCCAGGGTGGGTTCTGCGCCACGCAGCATGGACACCGCCGCCGCCTGCTGCTGCTGCCACCTGCTGGCGAACGAGTCCCAGAACCCCGGTCCGCGCGGCTCTGCCGCCGCCACCGCCGCCTCCGAGGCAGGCTGCGCCGCCAGGGGGCTGCGGAAAGGGGGCGTGGTCAGGGGGCTGGCCAACAGGCCCCAGAGAGGACAAAGGACAGGAGGCGGGTTCGATGGACAGTGGGGCCCCGGCGAGGTCAGGAACTGGAGGGGCCCGGGAGAGAGGGGGCCGGTCAGGACCTGGAGGCAAGGGGAGGGCTCAGAGGCACTGAGAAAGGGGGCTGGGGTGGGACAGGGTCAGGGGAGTAGATGAGGGATCTGGGAAGAGGAGGCCGGGATGAGTATTCCTGGGAAGAGAGACGGGATCAGGGGTTCAGGGAGGGAAACCCGGGCGAGGCCAGAGGAGGAGAGCCGGAGGCTCCGAGTTTGGGATGCTGGGGGAGGAGCCCTGGGAGAGGGGCGGGCCCGAGGATGCTGAGAGACAGTGGGACTGGATGGGGAGTTAGATAAGGGGGAGGGGGCAGGGTCAGACTCTGGAGGCTGTAGCCCGGGAAGACAAGAGTGAAGCCTTGAGGAGAGAGGCGGGGCGGTAACAAGTTTCTGGTTCTGGGATGGAGGGGTAGAGGGTTCAGAAAAATGAGAGATCCTGGGGAGATTGACAGGTGGAGCGATCCCAAGGGAAGCAGAAAAGCCTAGATCAGAGGCCTAGGGGAGATGGGGACTGGGAGGTAGCAGGAACATGTCGGGGGAAGGGCAATCCAGGAGTAGGAGCAGTGATAAGCCTTGAGGCTGAAGCCTCAGGTCTGAGGAAGTCCTTGAAGAGCTGGGAGGGAGAGGGATGAGCAGGGAGGGAGAAAAGGAACCGTGGGGCAGGGGAGATGGGAGAAAGGAATAGGGGAAGATGTGACTGGGCTGGAGGAAAGGGCAGAGATGAAATGTGTGTCAGAGTAGAGTTCGGAGGAAGACAAGGCCCTGGGTCCGACGCCCCCCAAGACCCCAGCATAAAAGACCTGCTAAGACAGTCCCTAAACTAGTGTGCCTTGAGTCCTCAGGGAGCTCACTGATAATATACATCCCAGGACTCAGCCAACACCTGCTGAATCAGAATCTTTGAAGGAGGGTCTAGGAATTTATGTTCATCACAAGTTCCCTGGGAGGATGAGGGTTTAGACCAATACTTAGGAACCATTGATCTGAACCTCCCTCTGTTCAAACACCTAAAGCTTCTCTCCTGGGTACCCTGATTCTGGGCAGATGACCCCTCCCACGTGCATGGGGAGAGAGAGTCCATAATACCTTCTAGCATCTCAATCCCAACAGCTAGTAAATTCCTCATGAGATCTAACCTTATCTCCCAGATATGCTGATTTGGCCTCTTTCCTGCTGAAACAGAAACAGAAACAGCCAGGGGCTGGACCTCTCCTGTCCTCCCTGGTCAGTAAGACTAACAGACCAGAAGGAAAGGACATGGGAGATGGGGGATCCCAGGCCTGTCCCAGACTTCCCCACCACCACCACATATGCATAAACACACACACATACTGGTCAGCACAGGGCTCTGGTGGCAGCAGCTTGTCCTCATCTTCTTTGTTAAACAGAGATGACATTGTCAGCCAACCTTTCACCCCAACCCCTTGAACCTGGGAGGAAGGGGCTGGGAATCAGGGAGCCGCCCCAGCACCACCTCCCAGGACCCCACAGCAGCTTCTGCCAGGCTCCCCAGGGCAGGGGTGGATGAAGGGCGAACTTACCCGGCGGGCCAGCTGTGACATGGGATTGAAGGCCTCTTCAGTCGGTTCTGCCATCTCAGACTCCGCTAACGCTGGGTTCTCCCTCTGGGACACAAGACCGCTAACCAGCATAAGAGAGGCCCCAGAGGAATAGGACCTCTCTCCCCCACTACTAGCTTGGTACACACAGATCAGACACCTCAAACTTCACAGACAAACACACATATTGTGGCCCACTCACATCCTCCAAAAATACATAAGGTGTACCTCTACACAGTTACCAGTCACACACACACATTACCTGTAGAGGAAATCCCTGCAGACGCCCTTGAGCTCACATACGTGCCCACCCACAGACACATTCATACACACCCCAAAACGTGGACAAGGGCTTGCATGCCGACATGGCACACACCTGCACATGAGCAAGCCTCTGCATGACTACAGCCCTTCACCTGTACATAGATATACCTGCTGTGAGGCACCTACACAAGGACACTTACACAGTTACACCATTCACACCATTCACACCTGTGCACTTCCACAACTGCAGACAGCTGCACAGAGACCCACCTACAGCACACAAAACCTCTTCACCCCTCCACAGACACCACAACACAGATGCACATACACACACCCAAACATTATACCTGCAGGTGCCTGCATACCTCCAGAGACTTCTGCCCAAAATAGACACACCTGAAAGTTCACACCTGCACATACATCTTAACTGGGGATTCCACACCAACACCAGCCCCAATACTGACCCACAGATACTTCTATACAAGCTCAGCCCTGGACACCAACCTGTGTAGACACACACTTAATTCACACTCACATACACACACCCCAGAACTAGTTCCTGTCTCTGCCATACCTACTTGTGCAATTGCCACTTATCACAGCCTCCAGATATAAGACTGTTTTGGAGCCTTTTCATTTTTTTTTTTTAAATGTCAGGACAAATACGGTCCAAGTATGGCTCTGATCTGGTGCTGCTACAGTGACCCTCTGTGTACAAGTGTCACTTCCCCAACCTCCAGTACCAGGGGGCTTGCTTTCTCCCAAGGCAAATCATCTCATTTCTGCTCAGCTCTGCCCATTAGAAAGCTGAGGCAAGCTGAGTGTATCTGTGTGGGTTCTGCCCACAGGTCCTAAAAGGATTTCTTCCATGTGGCAGCACTTAAGATCTTTGGAGGCAGTGACCACTCCTCCAAGTCTTCTCTTCTTCCTTGGTTTCCTTAAATGTCCTGGCTTTCTGACACTGCACGCATCCCTCAATTGCCAGTTGTTTCTGCCCAAATCTCTTTCTCTCAGAGCCTGTCCCTTGCCCTTCTTTGTACCTTTCACTCCTGCTGCCCCTCTGCCATCCAGCAGGCAGGACAGTACCCACCTCCGCTGCCAGGTCCTCCTCAGATTCCCCACTCAGGGTCTGCAGTACTTTAGACTTGTAGGTTTTCCAGAAGGCCTGGTTCATGGCTGCAAGGGAAACGGGCCTGGCACCCAGGCACGGGAAGGTGGTGGCTGAGTGGACACCCAGTAGGTCTGGCTCCAGGAACTCAGTGAGGCTCAGAGCCTGCCCCAGGGATCAGATGACTTCATTAAAGATACACCAGCCTCCCCAGATGGCACAGTGCCCAGCAGGCAAACCCAATCCAAAGGAGTCTGTGGTAAAAGTCGGTGTCTGCCAACTTAGCCCCTGATCTTGACCCATATTGGCCAAGAATAATGAAGACATCTCTCTCCACAGAAGCCTCCTTCCTGAGCCCAGGAGTTCTTGAATTTGATCATTTGGAATGGCTCCAGAAAGATCCTCTTCCAGTCATGAAGTCCATTTACAAAGTCCTTAGGTTCAGGACCCACAGTGGTGCCCCTCTGACTATAGCTATATAGCTGTGCCCTCAACAGGGCCTTGCTCTATGTCCACACTCAGCCTCTGTGAAATAGAGTGGGAAGGTCCCAAGGCCCCCAGTCAGTGCCTTGGGCTTACATTTCACTGCTTTGTCTGGGCTGGAAACTGATTCCTCTCCCCAGGGATGCACGTGCCTGTCTCCCTGTTTCCTGGCAACACATTCCAAAAAACTAGGGCCCCTGAATTATTGCTGAGTTCCTTTGGTCAGCCTGGAAGGCACCAGGCTCTGGTGCATGGGGAAAAGCTCTCTGGCCCTCTCCCCACTGTGAGCACACAACACCTAGGTTGTACCTCTGCATTTGATGCTAGCCCATGCCTGGAAGCCCAGGGCTGAGAGAAAGGGGTCAAAGATAAGAGGTCTTTCTGTGAGTAGCTCCTTTTCTTGTGAGAGGAGCTGACCCCTCTTGAGTCTGACAGGATTCCTGAGAACTGTGATCTTTGGGGAGGAACACCCCTCCCTCCCAGATTTGGCTGAGGGGTGGGGGTGGATGAAAGTTGGAGACCAGAGGGAATAACTGGGGAGGGGAAAGAAGTGGTGAGGGCTTTATGAGAGACTAGAGGTATCTCGGAAAGTGCTGTAGGGGCCGGGATTCCAAAACTTTGGAATATTCACTCTCATTCATTTATTAATATATTCGCATCACAGACATTTGTCAGTGCCTTCCAGAGATGTTCAAAGCACGCCCTCTCCAACGCAGAGTCTAAGATCTGGGAAGGGGTGAATAGGCCAGATTGAGATAGGTTGGGCCAGGTGGAGCGGGCAGGGCAGCGGACTGGCCTGAATTCCCCCAGAGCACGCACCACGCCCCTGCCCCTCCAGCAACGGAACAGGATTCTCTGTGGGGCCCCGCCTCAGCTCCATCACTGCCGTCGACGGCCGCTGGGGGGCGCTCAAGGAGCATCCCGCGCTAATGACGTCATCAGAGGCGGTCTGGCGGAGTCTCATTAGTCCCCCGGCGTCACTTGGCGTCATTGATCAGTCCGGAAGCGTCCACACGTGTTCTCCTAACTAGGATCTGGGACCCCTGGTCCCGCTGTCACCCTCCATGGGTCGCTCCCGCCGGACCGGCGCTCACCGAGCGCACTCCCTGGCCCGCCAGATGAAGGCGAAGCGGCGGCGGCCGGACCTAGATGAGATTCACCGCGAGCTGCGGCCCCAGGTTGCCGCACAGCCCCGTCCAGACCCGAGCAACGAGCCCGACCCTGACCTGCCAGGGGGCGGCCTGCATCGCTGTCTGGCCTGCGCGTGAGTCCCAGCCGGGCCTGGCCTGAGGAAGAAAAGGGTCCGCGGTACGGGCCGGGGGTGTGAGGTCCGGGCCCCGGGGCGCGCAGGGTCTCCTCTCCTGGGACCCGTGGGTCTGCCGGCACCCCATCCCTTCAAGCCTGGAGTTCGTCAGGGAACGAACTGGGGTCAGGGAGATAGGCGTATCTGAGAGGCATCACCTTCTCACTCTCCTCCTTACCCTCCATCCCTACAGGAGGTACTTCATCGATTCTGCCAACCTGAAGACTCACTTCCGATCCAAAGACCACAAGAAGAGGTATGAAGGAGTAGAAGAGGATTGATGGATGGGTGCCGGTCGGACAGGGCTGGCTTCTCGTTAGTGCTCAACTCCTATTCTTTTTCCCAGACTGAAGCAGCTGAGCGTGGAGCCCTACAGTCAAGAAGAGGCGGAGAGGGCGGCGGGTATGGGTTCCTATGTGCCTCCCCAGCGGCTGGCAGTGCCCACAGAAGTATCCACTGAAGCCTCTGAGATGGACACGTCTACCTGACATGGCCTGAGGATGCAAAGCAGAGGAGCTGCCCATGGACAATGATGCAAGGGCCAGGCTGGGAGAGACTGTGCCAGTCTCTCTTGGCCCTGGGTCTGGGATTTCGATGGCCTCTTCTGGGTGCCCTCCCTCCCAATAAAAGAACTGGATCAAGAAGGCTTTCCTCTGACTTTCTAACCTCCAGGCCACTCCCCCAAACTCCTGCCCTCCAAAAATTCCTCTACTACTCCTGCGTGCAGGGCCCAGGGTGTCTCCTCCCGACTTGATCCAGCTTTGGAACCTGCATCCTTCCCTTCCCTCAGGGGTCCTGGCATCTGAGTTGAAGCCCCCAGTTGGAACCCAAGTGTGTGGAGGGGTAGGATCAGGTTTATACTATCCTGCTTCCAATGAGGGCAGGGACTGACCCCCAGAAATGGAGATTCCTGAGATTGTAGCCTCTGCTGAGTCACCTACCCCCCCAGGACCCAGGTGAGAGGCCGCCCGCTTCATCATGGAGCCTGTGGCGGCCGCCGCTGCCCCACCATCTTCCAGACAGCATAGCAGGAGCCGCCCAGCCCAAGGACAGCCAGCAGTGCAGCCACAATCCCAGCCAGTGAACTCCGGGGCTCTGCCTTCAGCTCCCCGGCTATCTGCATCTGGAGGTGCACAGAGGGTCCGCTTGAGGGGTCAGTTGAGACCACTGGGAAGGTGGGGAGTGGAAGGGGGCTGAGAAGCTACTGGGGGAAGGAGATACAGATGCCATTGCTGGCCAGGGAGATTCCACCCCAATCCCTCTCGCTTCACTGCCCATCTGGGCCCTGGCCGCTCAGGCGGCAGGGAACGTGACAGCCTGGTTGCTGGGTGTCAACCTAGCCATGGTAGGGGGAGAAAGGGGTCGGTGCCAGAAACCGCTGGTTAGGGGCGCTTACCTGTAGCACTCGGAAGTAGCCAGGGGTCAGGCGCCGAAATCGCATGGTGGGTGCTGCTAGTCTCCCTGGTGTCCTGTGGGGTGGAAGCGGTAATGAGGACCAGGGGCGTTCAAGGTACCAGGAAGCGGAAATTGGGGCATAGAGTTTCCTGACCTCTCATACACAAGAGAGCCATGCCCTCGGAGGATGCTCACCAGTGTCTGCCTTCCCAGGTCTGTCAGGGGGCGGGGCAACTAGACCTTTAAATCTGTCCCTTCCCCCGCCTGCCCGCCCTGCCAGCCTTAGGAGCAGCTGTCAGGAGAGATCAGCATCAGGCCTGAGCAGCACCTCCCCCACCCACCAGGGAGTCCAGGCTGGGTAGGCAGGAGAGGCCTTGCCTCGTAGCATTCAGAAGTCTCAGACCTGGACCAGGTATGGAAGGGCCTCCCCAGCCCTGCTCCTGGCCCTATCCCTACCTCAGATGATTGGATGTCACCAGTTGGCTCTCAGCAAAGGAGGGGGTGGGTGCTTCTTAGTACCCCCCAGACAGGAGTAGGCCTTTTTCACTTGGTTTCTGTTAGGGCAATCACACCTGCCTTGGAGAAGGGTGCATTCCACCTCTTTCCCCAAGACGGAGTTCCTGTAGAGATACCCCTACCTCAGTTTGGGGACTATAATAAAAGATCTGAATCTACTGATTAAGAATGCTGTCCGAGGTGCGCTAAAAAATAGTAGCTGACTGTGCCGGGCATTGTTCTAAATACTTTATGTGGGTTATTTCACTTGGTATTGATTATCTCATAAAATGGGGAAAAAAGCATATTTTCAGAATAGCAGCATGTAGAGTATCAGCTTACAGAGAGAATGGAAGGACACCCAGAAAACTTAACAGTGGCCCACACTGGGGAATGGGATGAGGACATGCTGGGGAAAGGGCACGTCCTCCTTACACTTAATGACCTACTGTTACCTTTGAAATTTTTACAGCATGTATGTCCAAAGAACTTTTATAAACTCATAAAACTACCTTCAAAATAGAAGCTGCAGTTTACTCTGTTCCTAGCTGCCTAGCCCTGCCAGTTGCTGGGGGCCAGAGTAGAGGCACTGGTGTAGTTGTTAGGCCCCCAGTCCTTTTGGGGGCATATGTGAATACAAGTGGTGAGTTCTTGTTCGTTTCTCTCCTACAAGATTGTGAGTTCAGGGAGGGTGGAGGCTGGCTGATTTCTCGCCTCTGTATCTTGTGCCAGTTCAGGGTCAGTGTTGGATGAAATCAGGATGGTGGAGATGGGTCTGTGTTTACTGGGTTTCCCAAGAGCGCCACAGGGAGGCTAATGTAGGAAGAGGCAAAAACATTAGAGGAGGAAGCAGCAAGGAGGAGTGTTGAAGGGATACACACCGTGAAGTGTGTGAAGTAAAGGACAAAGCCAGAGGTGAGGGCCGTGTTGCAAATTTGGAACCCACTTGTTTACAAATGAGGGAGCAAAGCCTGTGGGGACCTGGAGTCCCCTTGAAGGAGGCAGCCAATGATCTGCATTCATGTTTGATGCCACCTGTGAAGGGGGAATGGGATCAGCAGAGCTGGCCAAATTCCAGAGAATTCAATTTGTATGTGAAATTGTTAAATGATGACCATTAAAACACATTACATGGACATCCATGAGCCAAATTCAGACTTTGGGTCTCTGGGTTACAGTCAAGATCTTGACAGGCTTTGAAGGCCAGGTATTGGGGTGCCAGTAGAGATTCCAAGTTAGGTGACAGAGTCAGAGGGGGCAGGACTCTCAGACCCCTTCCTATGGAATTAAAGCAATAATAATAAATCAGCCTCATGTTATAGATTCCAAAATACTTAAAAGATATTGTCACAGAACTGAAGTCTAGACACCCCCCTTTTGGAGAGGAAGAAACAGGTTCAGAGAGGTGTAGGGGGTAATCTCAGTCACATAGCAAGTGGAACTGATTCTGTCTGATTCCAGAGTCCTGGGAGTCAGTCCCCTGGCCTGGGATGATCATGATGATAATGGCAAACACTTAGTATGCATCAGACACTGTTCTAAGAGGAAGGCTCTTAACTTGGGCTTCCCGATTCAGGGGGCCTACACACTTGGGTGGGAAAGAAATTATGTATTTATTTTCGCTAACCTCTAACCAAAATTTGCCATTTCCTTCTATATGGATAGAAGTATTAGCAGTATCTGTGGCTTCATCAGGAGAAATCACAGATATTTTCATATCAAATGGTAATTATTGAAAGTCTCTCAGAATATTACCTATGCTCATAACTATTTCAAAGTGGTGACAGTTATTAACACACTGCTAAATTTCACTCTGTTTCAGACACTCCAGAGACATAGCTGCTGTTGATTGTGCACAGTAGAGGGTCAGTGACCAAATGGTGAATCCATCTGTTCCCACACTGGTGACCCCAGCTTCTCCATTACTCTCTTGCATTCCCTGTCTTTAGTTGTTTGCTGATCAATTAGTGTGAGGAAGTGAGTCAAAGGCCACCCCCACAGTTCAGTGTTATTCATGCTGAGCAACAACACACTGATATCATTCGAAAAGGAAAATTTAAACTTGCCAGTCTTGTTATTTAATGCTAATAAATACATATTACTATGTCATAAATTTGTGATTTTTAATATATTTTGATGGTAATTGTCCTTGTAATCTTTAGCAGTTTGCTTTGTGCTTTTAAAAGCATCATTCTGAGAAAGGGTCCAGAGATTTCCCCAGACTGCCAAAAGGATCCCCAGTACAAAAAAAAAGACAGGGCTAAAAACCAGTTCTGAAGGTTTTAGAGCTGTTAACGCAGGTACTCTACACAGCAGCACTCTGAAATAGGACTGATTATATCCATTTTACAGATAGGGAAACTGATGCCTGGTGGGTAGCCCTTGGTCCCACAGCTAACAAGCTGCAGAGCCGGATTTTGCACCCAAGCTCTGGCTCCCTAACCTCTGTGCTTTGTTGCTCACTGCTCATTTTTTGGCCCCTTTTTGAGGAGCCTGAAGGTCAGGGTTTCACTTTGCCATCTGAGGTCAATTTTGGGCGGGGATCCCAAGGCCAGTTCCGAGGTCGCCTGGGTCACACACCAGTGGCACCGCCCCTGGTTGCCCTGGGATGCCTGAAGAGCTGAGCAGAAGGAGGACAGGCAGTAGGCCAATGGTTGTTGCAGCTCCTCACTTGGGCAGCCACGTGGGCTCAGGTATGCCAGTGGCTCCGCCCTGGGCCCAGCCCAGCCCCTCCCCAGCCAGGGCTCTGGGAGCGGAA